TCCTGTCTACGTCAGCTCATATGTGCCTGTTCAAACACTGTCGGGGTGAATGTCATGATTTTTGTGTGCTTATTCTTATACTTACCATATATACTCGTACTGAACTTTTGTATGTACATTTCAGCTCATGTGCGCTTGTTCTTAGACAAGTAAAACGTTGCTTATCCTCGAAAACCTGGACTCTGTTCTAACTCGTTCTCGGACACTTTCTAAACGTCTCAGTCACTCGAAGGAAGCACGAGGGCTGGGATACTGCTGGGTCGCCCAAGTCTAGACAAGGGAAGTCGAGAGGCAGAGGTCGGGTTCGAACCACGGACCTTCCAGTCAGTAAATTAATGCTCCAACGACTTGAGTCATCATGATAACATTTACTGTAAGCGTCAACCATGATAAGATAATGCTGATTGTTTAATTGGTCCAGTAAAATCAACTTGTAGACGCGACCAAGGGTTAATTGGTGCAAGCCAAGAAGATAACTCAGTCTTTCGCGGTGGTTTCTGCAGAACAGACATTTGGAACAGGATTTCACATGTTCTAGTTGTTTGTCCATACTCGGCTAGTATACATAACAGTGCGCCAACGCGGTTGATCCTTGAGTGTCCGGAAGGAAGCCGTTTTAGTACTCGCGCTTGCAGTTTGGTTGGTATTATAACACATTCACCAAAGGGAAGGCAACCATCGCCTTCAGAGAGGGAATATCGTCTGTGGAATAATGACTGAATGTCTCGTGTCACTGACGACGACCAGCGTGTTCGGTGATGGTGTAATACTTGTTGGAGCAAGGGGCAACATCTGGTTTCGTCCCGGACCATTGTTAAAGTAACTGAAAGGGCTCGAATGGATGCAGCGGGTACGGTTCGAATTTCCGACTCGGCAGAAATGGATGCCACGACCGTATCTTCTGCCGGCTGTCGTTCTGAGTCCATCAGTCTTGATAAGGCGTCTGCCTGGCCAATAGTATCTGTGAGCTGGTATTTGGTTGAAAAATCATAGCCAGGGAGGATGGTCGTCCAGCGCTGGAGACCATTTGCCGTGTATACCGGAACGCCTTTCTTCGAGCCGAAAATGAAAACAAGCGGCTTGTGACTGGTGAGAAGTGTGAAATGGCGACCGTAAGTTATTTCGTGGAATTTCTTGACCGCAAGTACGATTGTAAGTGCTTCTTTTTCTATTTGATTGTCACTGCATTCAGCTGGTGTAAATCTGCCGGCTTTCTGAGTCCATCAGTCTTGATAAGGCGTCTGCCTGGCCAATAGTATCTGTGAGCTGGTATTTGGTTGAAAAATCATAGCCAGGGAGGATGGTCGTCCAGCGCTGGAGACCATTTGCCGTGTATACCGGAACGCCTTTCTTCGAGCCGAAAATGAAAACAAGCGGCTTGTGACTGGTGAGAAGTGTGAAATGGCGACCGTAAGTTATTTCGTGGAATTTCTTGACCGCAAGTACGATTGTAAGTGCTTCTTTTTCTATTTGATTGTCACTGCATTCAGCTGGTGTAAAGATCGGGCTGCATAGGCGATGGTTTTTTCACATCAATCAAGAAATCTGTGGCAAATGACTACTCCAATTCCACGGTTGGATGCATCTGATGCTAGAGTGATATCCATAGAAGGGTTGTAATGTGTAGGCAGCAGGTCTGATGATAAGTGACTTAACTGTATCGAAAGCTTATTGACAGTGAGGTGGCCAGATCCAGGGAGCATCCTGTTTTACGAGGAGACCGCGAACATATCTGGTAAAAAAGCACTGTAATGGCTCACTAACCCGAGGGAAGATCGCGGTGAAGGCACATCCGTCGGTGGTGGCGTTCTCTGAATTACATCAATGTTGTCCGGTTCAGGATGACGGTGAGATTTATCGGAAATGAAACCCAAATATTTGATGGACGTAAGAAAGAATGCACATTTTTCTGCTCGGAGATGAAAGCCGTATTCCTGGATTCTATAAAGTACTGAGGTTAACCGATGAAGGAGTTTTCCTGATCACAAGCTGTCACAATGATATCACCCAAGCAGACCACGACGCCTGTTAAACCATCAAGCACAGAGTCCATGATTTGTTGGAATATGACTGGTGCCGTTTTTACACAAAGAGGGAGACGATTTAACTGAAAAAGACCAAGGTGCGTGTTAATGGATAGAAGATCCTTGGAGTCATTCGCAACTTCAACTTGTAAATAGGCATCAGCCAGATTGAGTTTAGCAAAGCAAGTGCCACCATTGAGTTTGATAAACAGATCTTCTGGAACTGGGAAACGATACTGATGTGAATCGCGTGGAGCATTCAATCACAATAAATCCTGATTTTCCCATTCGTCCTCTTGACAACAATGAGAGTTCTTCAGGAAGAGTAGCCGACAGACTGGATAATACCTGAAATTTGGAGACGATCGCGTTCAGCGTCCACAGATGCCGTAAGCGGATTGCGCACAATAGTTGGTAGCAGAAAATAGTGGCTCCCCAATTGCGTTACAAGTGGAACGTGAAATCAGTGTGATGATTGAGGCTATGTCCAGCTGAAGACGGACAGGATGATTTATCACGGAAAGTGTGATGAATTTTGCGCGGGATACGGAATCCACTTTGAATGATACAAAAACAGAATTCGATCGACATCGCTTCCGTTGTGATGTAGGGGCCGTTTGAGGTGCGCTCTATCCGTGATCAATTGGCTTTCATCTCTGTGGGAAACAAAATCTTTGCTTATGACCAATAAGACGACACATCTGGCATTTGTTTCCTGAACGAGCAAAGGTGTACGCAATGCCAGTCATCACAACACCAACATGGTGTAGAAGGTTTATTACGTTTGACATAGGAGCTGCGCTGAAAAGTCTTATTCTGATTTCCAGAAACATGGTGCACTGTCGTGTGAGCCAGATGATGCTTGGCCAATCGTTGTGCTGTCCTGATTCAGTTGAATGAGACGGTGACATTCAGCACTGAGCTCCCGTAGGGTTATCTTTAGGTTTTGTTCAAGCTGGTGCAACAATCTTGTCCGAATTTTCGCATGACGAGAGGACTGGATGCCAGATATAAATATAAGGCATTTTAATTGATTTTTATCAATATCGCTGAGCTTGAAACGTTGGCGAAACAGCAGTGTTGAACACCTGTCATGCTGTCGGTGATGTTGATTATCACTATTTTCGTATTTCTATCGCGGAGGACAGTACGACTTTCCTCCAGGTTGCCTCGTATTTAATTGATTTTTATCGATATCGCTGAGCTTGAAACGTTGGCGAAACAGCAGTGTTGAACACCTGTCATGCTGTCGGTGATGTTGATTATCACTATTTTCGTATTTCTATCGCGGAGGACAGTACGACTTTCCTCCAGGTTGCCTCGTATTATGATAAATCGCAGTAAGAATATATTTCTCCTTGTCTGCCAGCTGTCCTTAGGCTTTCTAGTGGGATGAAATTTTGAGGAATGAAGTTTGAACTAGTGTACCCAAGAAGTCACTGAAGCATTGAATCCCGATCATTTTGTCAAGGTGGCAAATTTTGGATGGGTTTCCATTCATGTCTACTTGGTTCCTTCTCTTGTGAAAAGTCAGTAACGAGCTCGAATCGAATTGACCTAGAAACATTCCGGCCGGCGTCGGCGTCAGTCTGTCAATCGCCTTGAAAAAAGTGCTGGACCGACCACTAGGCTCCCGGTCACACTCACTTCTTTCAAAACTGCATCAACTTTCAGCTCAAAAGCATCTAACAATATATCTAACGGTACGGTACCCGAACACATTGGAGTTTCCAGCGTGCTGCCAAAGCGGAGTTGGTTTCGATGTCTGGTCCAGGTGTCTTGACCAACAAACACGTTGTACATCGCACTACCGCGTTTGCGCAGGATACAACCTGTAATCCACACATCGAGTCCGGGGCTATAATCACGGACAAGTACGGCGTTCCCACCTTGAATGGAGCTCCAGCTGCCACCGCGATGGACCTTGATTCAGTAGACTGTGTTGGCAACATAGAAGAATCAGCGGCTCCATGAGTGACTGGTGGTTCGGCAAAGCACCATTTGGGGTCGTTTGGTCATCATCATCAAAGACAGCAACATCAGTGTTGCCACTGATGCTTCACTGCCTTACAACCATAAAGTTCGTTTAGTTATATATATATATATATATATATATATATATATATA